ATACATCCACGCCCCCATACGTCGTCATGACGTAGTGCTTAATTGGTTAAGTACAGGGATAAATGTATCTTACGTTACGTGAGGTACATTTGGCTTCCACGGGTGGACCAACTGACAGGCCGTGCGGAACTCAGGCTTCATTAATAAGTAGTGCTAATTTGTCCTACAGGCAGCCCGAGAAATCGGGAATCAACGGAAGGTTTCATCTGTCATTTCGGGATACTGTTCATGAAAACTTAAACAAGTTTGTAAACGGAAGTTCACGCAGCTGCGAATGGTTTTTTTATTATTATTGCTGGGCTGATGTGGGAAATTTCTGCTTTAATTCGTTGCTTTTAACGCTCCACATTGCAGGACCGCTTCCGTGCTTTTCGGACATTCTGTACGTCATGCCAGAATTTAATGTAAAAGCATTTCCTTACCATGGTTACTGCAAAATATGGATAAAGCAAAGGTAAATTTGTCCCTGTGATTAATTAGTTAAACACTAGGCCCCGAAGACATATGAGGGAATGGAGGTATAGCTCCATCAATCTTGGCTTCGGCAGTAGATGGTGGTGAGGGGTCAGCTTCACGCTCTGGCTGCTTTACCCACGGTATACACTAGATAGGAGGCTGGGTGGGCCCCAGGGTCGGTCTGGACAGTATGGAAAACAGAAAAATATCTCTTCCTTGCCGGGAAATCCAGTTTGTTGCTGTACTGACTGAGCTATCTTACTCTTCTTTTCAAATTTTCTTTTACACGAAGTTTTGGACAAAGAGGTGAGATGGAAGGATAAACCAACAACTGACTATTTTATACGTAAGAACGGTTCCACTCTGTGGAGTAAGCCAATTACTGGTAAAGCTATCCCTGTAACAGGCCACGGAGGCCCATAGGTTGGAGACGTCCTAGACAATCGGCTCACAGATGGCGGTGAGGTTGTCAGCCTTACGTGCTGGCCGCCCTTTTCCATTATTAAAATTCCTGGTACTCATTTCTGTTAGAGGCTGAGTCGACGCCAAACCTGAAGTATTAAATCCAGCGAAAAATCCAATTACCTAACCGGGAATCGAACTAGCGTCCTTCTGGCTTGTAGCACAGTGCCTCAACCAACTACGCTTCCGCGTGCCTCGAGTTCATTACTGGGATATTCAGATTAACTCGAGTAATAGAGCCTTTCGTACAAAGGAACGTAGTTATTTTTTCTATGGTCTATAGGACCTATTTGTAGGGTTCATGAATCAACGTTATAGCCAGTAAGAGGCACAGATGTGAGACGCAGAAAGACAGAGACAACAGAGCGGAGACAGAGGGACAGAATGCGGATTTACGTAAAGGCAGATACCTCGCGCGAAGGCTCCCAGATATTACGTAGCACGCAGCTCCTCAGTTTCATGGATCCGCGCGCTCAGACAATGTATGCCGTTAGATTCAAGCCTTATTTATATTTCCACGAAGAGGATTCAAACAGACATCAAGAGAACAAAAAGCCCTTGAAATGGCTACGAGTTTTGTCCAGGCATGCTCCTGGATGATACCGCAGGAGGGGAGAGAGGGGTATTGGATGGGTTTGCGTTTCGGCCGTGGGTCGGATTTGGTCTCTGCGGGGGAGAAACACCAGCCCAGAGAAGAAGGGGGGGGGGTTGTGAGGTTAGGCTTTGGGGAGAGGCGAGACTCAAGATGTCATATCGGGAACAGGGATATATCAACTTGTTTATGTATTTTATATCCTCAGCAGTCCATTCTGGGGAAAAGAATCGCATATGTAAATAAGTCTTTCTTTCGAAATAATGTAGAAAAGAAAATAAGTTGAAGGGCTGCAGGGGGGAAGATATGAGATCGGTCTAGTAGCATCATTAACTGGTTCATGTCTTCGACGAATATATTGATCTTTTTTTGTCCTTTGTAAATAAATTATAAACCCATTGGTTTAGGCTAGTTATTTTGTACGTCGGTTATTTCACGATGCGTTCTGCAGCTAGACCGCATAGCGTCCAGTGCTTTCTTTTTCCTTTGGCGCTACAGCCCCAATTTGGGCCTTGGCCTACCTCCATGAAACTCTCCGTTTCACTTCGGTTTACTATCTCAGATATTAGGTAGGACTCCTTGGGCGGGTGATCAGCTCGTCGCAAGGCCTCTACCTGTACACAAACACAGAAAAACGCACGCACACATAAACACTGAAGATCCATGCCCTGAGTGGGATTCGAACCCACGACCCCGGCTTCCGAGTGAGCGATGGATGCCTTAGAACGCTCGGCTACCGTGACTGGCAGCGTCCAGTATCGGGATGATAAAATTAACCATGAACTGGAAAGGACTCGGAAGGTAGTGGTCTTATCTTAATAGAAATAATGTCCCAAAATGTTGTTCTAGGAAGATTCCTGGTACTCATTTCTGACAAAGGCTAAGTCGATCCCAGGGCCAGATTACGGCTGGAAGGATTAATTTGAAAAAAATTCCAATGACCTCACTGGGAATCGAACCCGCGACCTTCCTGCTTGCAGCACAGTGCCTGAACCAACTACGCTACCGCGTGACCCCTTGAGACATAATAATAATAATAATAATAATAATAATAATAATAATAATAATGATCTAGCGGTACCTTTTTCGGCAAGGGTCCACACTGCAATACAGAATGACGACTAAGTAATGTCTACAGAAACACTGCCACAAATGTCGCCATTTTCTTCAGGCTTACTGCACCACTCTGCTGGAGCTCTGCTGTACAGTATCGGGTTGTGGAATGCTGCTCAATCAACTGGAAAGGTCCTGGCATTTGCCTGGAAAGACTGAGGGAAACCACGAAATACATGGGGCGGGAGGTCACAGTAGCTAGTGTCAAAGACAAGGTTCGAACCAAACTCCTCGTAAACATATGTCTAGAGATTTACCGCTAAGTCAACCTGTCAGATCTTCTGATTCTGTCATTAGCAACTGAAATAAGTTCTGTTTTATGGTCTACAGGCCTGGATAGTATAAACAGACAAGGCATTTACAGGCCTGTATGTATAGGCATGCGCTGAAGGGTGGATGTACAGGAGTAACAAATTATTTTACGCAGTTGGTATAATTTGGCGGTTTACGTAACGGATGCTAGACATAGGGCCATGACGGCAAAACATGGAAGCCAGGGAGTTTCCTGGGAAACTTACATAAGCCGTTTAAGAAGGATCGCTCTAGAATTAGAGTCTACATGTCACTATAGCCCTTCGGACCTCGGCCGCTTTTTCGGTTTCTTTGATTTTTTACACAGGGGGCACGCGGTAGCGTAGTTGGTTGAGGCATTATGCTACAAGCCGGAAGGTCGCGGGTTCAAGTCCCGATGAGGTCACTGAACTTTTTTCAATTTACCTAATCCTTCCAGCCGCACTGTGACCCTGGGGTCGACTTAGCCTCTAACAGAAATGAGTACCAGGAATTAATTAAATAATTTTCCTGGGGACTAAAGCGCGGCCGGTGCATAAGGCTGACAAGCTTACCGCCATCTTTGAGCCGAGTGTCTGGAAAATGTGGGAGCCTCAACGTCTCACAACCCTATGGGCCTTCACGGCCTGGTACAGGGATAGCTTTACTTTTTTTTACTTTACTTTGATCTTTTACAGAGTCGATAGGACTCCTTGGACGAGGGATCAGCCCGTTGTACGGACGCTACCTACACTCAAAACAGCACAGACACAGAAAAAACGCATACACAGTCATCCATGCGTTCAGTGGGATTCGAACCCACAATCCCAGCCTTCGAACGAGCGAAGACACTTCCTGCCGTAGACTGCGCAGCCACTGCAATCGGCTAGGATATCTATATACCAAATATTAATAAGAAAAATTAAAAATCCTGAACAGTCTAGGGTCTAGACTGTTCGGGACAGGAGGATAAATTTTCAAAAACAATTTTTAATTTTTCATATTAATATTTGCTATACAGGTATTCTACTTCTTTTCAATTTTGATCCTTATTTTCCAAAGATCCATGTGACGAGGGAGTTCTCTGACTTGCCCCTTTATGTGGGGCTCACGTTCCCTTATTCTTTCGCACTAGATTTTGACTCAAACCAGGTCCCAGAAAACGGTAACTACGAACCGTCGGTGTATCCGTATAAAGCGAGAAATATCTTGACAAGTTTAGAGACTATCAGTTTATCAAGGAAAAGTTCTATAAATACACAATTTAGTAACACAACGAGACGTAGAAATCGGTAACTTAATTTATATTAATTACTATTATATTAGGACACAATTCAATAAAGAGTGACATATCATGAAAAGAGCCTGATGATGATCCAGCTGGGTCGAAACGTGTACCAGATACAGAATAATAAACAAATGTTAATACCGTGATATTGGTTTATTTATTTGTAATATGTTAGTTGAAGGCAATATTTTTATAGACCTACATCTTTCCGTTTTTTCACATAATAATTACGTCAGGACTGAATTCGTGCAAGAAATATAAAGACACAAAAATTTTTTAAACACTACGGACGGACAGATTGGAGGACCTTTGCGGACTTAATGGACGCTATGCAGGATTGCAAACGGGCCTAGGAACTATCATATTGATATAAATATAGGCCTATTACATTAGCGTCTATAAAATAAAAATATTTTCCTCTGAGGCTGTCACAGCGTTAAATTCGTTAAGTCCTATCTTGCGCGACGGGATACCATATTCGCTGGTTGCTTGCTTTCAATACTCTTCTACACTGAAGATGGGGGCAGTATGTTTCTCCGAAACGTCAGTAAACTTTACCAGATTACATTGCATCACATCCCAGAATACAACATTCTTCATTATATTTCTCATTAATCCTTTAATAATTCAAAGTACGCTGCGACAGCGATGGGCTACGGGCTGGACGGCCGGGGTTCGATTCCCGGCAGAGGTAAGAGATTGTTATCTACTCTATAGCATTCAGACCTGCTGTGGGGCCCACCCAGCCTACATCCCGACAATAAAGCAGCCGGGACGTGAAGCTGACCACTCACCTCTGTCTAGTGTCGAGCTCAAGAATGGTGGAGCTATACCACTGCTCATGGCGTGGTGCTTAATTAATTAAACACAGGGAAAATTATACTTTTACATTTACTTAAGACATAAACATGACATGTAACCCTCAAACACGGAACTGAGAGGCTATCAAACCAAATGAGCACTGAACTCGTAACGTCTGCCGACTGGACTACGGAGTGAGCCACTCACAGAGTTGGGGTAGTCGCTGCTCATCCCGCAGCTCGGTAGCGCTGCTTCCTGAGAGGCATCAGGATGAAACCCGTCTGAGAGGTGTCTAGAAAAGGTGGAGCACACTAGCACCCTTCAATCCCTCCCCTTCTTCCCACTAACCCCTTTACAAGTTTTAATTTTTAACCCTTCATCACTGGCCACTCCAAAGCATACCCACAAAACCCTTTCACAAAAGATTTAAATAAAAAAACCATATCCTCTCTCTCTGTCTGTGTGTGTGTACTTCATATAAAAAATATCTTCCAAGTCGTTTTTTTCTATCTTTTCTAAACCCTTTTATGCCTCACGTTTGCCCGCTGTCAACCCTGGTTGATAGGTAATTTTTTTATGGTCCAGGGGTCCTCACAGCGGGTTTTCCACCACAGACCACCTACAGGGGGGGTTTCCAAGCCTAACCCACACCTCGGCCCCGCATAAAATGCGATACCCCATGCCACCAACTGTGTGCACAGTCATCCTTTCGGAATTATCTGCAGTTCTGAAGTGGGAAGCGTTTGGTGGTAGGACAGACCCTAAAACCTTTAAACCTATTTCATGGAAGTTTCCAATTCCCATCTTCGTAAAGTTGTCCTGTGATTTGTTCTTGACGTTTTAAAGCATATTATATATATACAGAAATAGATCTCACGTCTTACTAACAAACTAGCCCCACACAGCAGAGTCCTTGAGAACCCAACAGCCGCTCAACTACGCAAGAAACGTCCAGCATTCTATCTGATGGTTCATTGTTGTGTTGCATTTGAGGTTCTCTGAACAGTACGGGCCTCCCGGGTTGTAATGCCGTGTTACTAGTTGATAGTCCGTCTTTTCGGAGGAACAATCCGCCTCCATCTTCAGGGGTTGAAGAGGAAGCAAAGGAAGAAACTACTGACTCCTGCTTCTGCTGGTTCCTCGCTTGGATTATTAGCAACTCTGAAGATGGAGACAGTATTTCTCCGAAACGTCGGTATCTCTCCGAATTACACGTTATTAGAAACCGCAACATCATACTCTTCATAACCGGGTACCTATTCATATCCTGAGCCAGATGAATCCAATCCATGTCCTCCAATTCTTTTTATTTAAGATTAATTCTGATATTTTCCTCCAATCTACGACTAGGTCTTCCAAGCGGTCTCTTTCCCTCAGCTTTCCTACCAACAATTTATACGTATGAATTTTTCTTCTATCCCACATGTGCTAAATGTTCTTTCTTTCTTTCTTTCTCATTTCTTTGATTTTATTGGCTTAGTGATATTTAGTGAGAAGTACAAAATACGTAGTATGAAGCGTTACCCTTCTTCCATGAAAATAGGGACAGTATTATACTCCGAAACGTTTGCAACTATTTACAAGACTACACGGCGTTCGATCTCAGAAGACAGTAATCTTCACTAATTTTGTATCTTGAAAGATGATTTGCACAACCAAAGGCATGTTCGTGTTTGTAACGTCAGACTGTACGTTATTCGTCTGGAGAGGCTGGAAACTGTTCCAGTCCTGGAAGCGACTCCATATGCCTTCCAAAGTGCAGCATGTTGCTCGGGATGCCGTATAGCCAGGGGTAGTCGAGCGTTCTGGACGTTGGACGTCTATGCAGGCGACTTGCTGCAGAGAAAAGTGGCTCATGTTACACTAACTTACACCGTGAATAGATGGGATCAAACGTAGACCTAATAATTAAAGGTATATTAAAAAATAAATTCCGGAAACTTACAAGCGAAAATTGGTACGAATTGGGGGGGGGGGCTCTACTCTACTGCTGGGTGGACCACCGATGAATCGTGGGGAAAACCACGCAGAAAGGAATGATGATAGGACTGAGAAATAAAAGGTACAGTAATGCAATAAGGGAGAAAGGAGGGAAGGAGATAAAGGTGCGAAAGGAACAGGCTTAAAAACAGGGATGGATATGAAGAATACCTTTTAACACGAAGGTAATAGAGAGGAACAACAGTACGAGAAACAAAAGATGGGGAAATTTCTTAAGATAGTTCTTAAGAAGATAAACACAAAAAGAGATCAAGGAAGGGCATAAATAAAGGATTTTCTCCGCCATTTTTGTCGGGTTATGCCCTAGTGTTCACCTAAACAAATAGAAAATTTTATCCAACACCAAGTAGGTCTATGCTTTTGCAAGGGCCTAGATAGATAACTACAAGCTTATCAGCAGGGCCTATATATTACCTACCGACCAAATACAAAATAAGAACACACAGTACCCCACTGTAAACGTAAAAATGAAAATGAAAGTTTTACAAATTGTAGTGAGTTAAGACGTTTTAGCATTGAACCTTGTCAACTGCCCGGGCCTTCAGTTCGCCAGAAGCTTGGAGCAATGCGTACTGCGGGAAAGCAGGATCCATAACTTATAAATTAGAAAATTTATCGAGCAAATCGGTAGAAAGAACTAAAAAATCATTCGCTGGTCTTACAGAACCGTATTTCATAGCAGAAGTTACTGTTGGTGTGTGCTACAGAAGGCACAAGCCCATACAGAGAGGTTGGCGGTGTGTGGGGGAGGAGGAGACATTCTTTGCCTCCAAACTAGGACAGTTTCCTATTGGTTTTTCCCCTTCGTCTCCAGAATTTTCTTCCAGTTCTGTGGATTTCTCCATCTACCCACTCAACATCCGTATAAGGAAACGGTCGACTCTTAGCTCAGTCATGCATTAAGGGGAAACCGACCCCTTCCACTGAAGCAATATAATTGAATCTCTGAATGTGATAATGGTAGGCAACTGAGAGGAAGAAAAATTCATATAACTCAGAGAATTAACAAGAAAGAACAACCTGTGGCTCGTGAGACACTTCAATGTTGCCAACCAAACGCAGCGATAGAGTGGATGGCACTCCTGCTTCGTAATCGGTAAGTCCAGGGTTCATATGTGAGTCCGGAAGTCGGTCTTGATTAAGGTTCTCAATTTTTTCCTCAGCCCCTAATCATAAATAGGATAATAATAGAAATTAGGCTTCGAGCGCTTCCTTCCAATTCCTTTGCAATTCATTATACTGTCACGTGTTAGAGTGACTCTCAACGGGGTTTTAGATTGGATATTTGATTTACTGACCACTTACGGATCGTAACTAGAAGTAACTATAACAGTCTCACGGAATTACACACTCCAAACATCACTGCAACTACAGCACACATAAAGTCTTCTCTGTCTTCATTAGTCACTTCCTGGTAACGGATTTAACACTGTCGTCATTCGGGGTCAAGATTTTTCTCTTCTCCACAGCGTCCAGGGGCACACCCTGCCTCCTGTCCAATGGGTACCGGAGGCTCTTTCACTGGGGTAAAGCGGCCGGGGCGTGAAACTGACAAATCACCTCCATGTAGCGTCGCGGTCAAGAATGGTGGGGTTATATCCCCACTCCCTCTTACGTCTACATTGCATAGTGCTTAATTAATAACGCACTGGGCAACTTTATGTTACCATCCTACCAGCCTACCATCGTAGGCTATACAGCCTAGAGATGCGACAGTGTTGCAAACTAAACCAAAAGTAAACAAATAAAAGTAAGACAAAGTTGTCCCTGTACTTAAGCACCATACTCGTATTATGAAGACGTATGGGAAAGTGAAGATATAAATCCATGCTTTATCAACCTAGGCAATGGATAGAGATGCCTCATCAGTTTCACGCCCCGGCAGCTTTACCCTTGGTACCCATCCGATAGGAGGGTGAGTGGCCCCCAGAGCCGGACTGGACATCGTGGAGAAGAGACAATTCTGGACCCTACTGGGATTCGAGCTCGGAACCCTCGGTAGTCCAGCCCGTCGTTTAGTCGCTATACCGACCGAATTATCTCGGTTTTTAAATAAATTAAAAAAAAACTCCCTGGTTTTAGTCCGCAAGCGAACTATACCGACCGAGAGCCCGCCGCTTGTCGGCGAAGTTTAAAAATATATGACTTAGTTTGGTAATCTTCTCTACAGTAGGTTTAACATTGTAACAGTGAATCTGCCTCTGCAACAATATATATATAGGCTAGGTATTGTCAGTAAACGAGCATTATTGCGAATGTTGTTGGAATAAAAATGCGTACTCCAGCTAGAGTACTTAGGTGTATATTTTTGTTGGTTATGTTAAGGATGAGGAGCCGGGGTTACTCAGACGTACAGCGATTTGCTACGGGCTGGACGACCAAGGGGTCGGGGTTCGAGTCCCGATGGAGGCAAGAATTTTCACTTCTCCATGTCGTCCAGGCCGGCTCTGGGGCCCACACAGCCTCCTATCCAATGGGTACCTGGGGCTCTTTCGCTGCAGGGGTAAAGCGGCCGAGGCCTGAAGCTGACCACTCACCTCCAATTAGTGCCGAGGTTAAGAAAACAGGGGTCTGTACACCCACTCCCCCATTGGTTTTCATGGCGTAGTGCTTAATTAGTTAAGCATAGGGACACTTTTACCTTTCTTTACCTATGTTAAGGATGGAAAGTCGCTGAGAAATTCGGAACCTGTGATGCTTGAAATTCTTAGGACGGTGAATGTGAAGATTACTGTCCTCTGGGATAATTTTACACTGAATATTGAGGCAAAATGTCCCTCCGAAACGTTAGTGCCTTTCTACCAGCATTCATTCTTCCCGTCCATATTCTAAATACAGACCTGTTACTATTTAGAAAAAGCCTGTTAGACTGACCATTGCCTGTGAGCTACATTACGAAGCTTCCAGAATATAGACTATAGTGTATAGCTTAGAAAGCTAGGATCTATGACAGGTGAACTGGAGGAATTTGGAAGCAATCACGGCCTAGTCTTGATACTTCTCGGGACTTTTCTAAGAGAGACTGAGTGAAATCATGAATAACTTCAGTTATTATCTCGGCAGAGTGTGGAACCGAGAACCTTCCGATTACAGCGCTGCCTATACACCAGTTCTCTGGCTCATAACATTTTTATTAGATTGCCAGAGAATATGTTCATTTTGTCAATTACGAAATTCCGGCGGACCACGTGCTCCGGGTTGCCCACCATTGGTCTTTGCTTTTTAAATGAGCATTTTATTTGCTTTAGTTTACGAGTCGGAAGCAGTTCGCAGGTCTAAAGTTCCCAGCCTGGATAAGATTCTAGGAACAAGGAGTTTCATATTGGAGATGATGTTTATGAATGACTTGACACTCTGGTTGATGGAGAGCGTTCGTGTTCGGTTGAGTGAGTGACCCAACATTATGAGCGATGCCCTGGTCTTATCAACCGACAGCAGATACAGCCTCTGAGCTGCGGTCTCCGTCACTATTATTTCTACCCATGAATTTCCTTTCCCCTAAATGCAGGCTAAACACCATAGCCGTTGCGTGAAAAATGCTGTACACAGGTTCAACAACTCTCACATTTACTCACTAGACAGGGTTACCTAACAATAAAGTCTTTCCATCCATCTATGTCCTCTAAAAGTTCCTTCTCAAGTTTCATAAAGTTCTTTCTTTTTTTCTGTAAGACACACTTCGTAATCTGCTGTTTCCATCTTAACCTAGGTCTTCCTCATGTGTGTTTTCCTTCTATATTCCTGTGCAAAAATTTCCGTGGGATTCTATTTTCGTCCTTGAAATAAGTCTGTATCATCTTTTTATTTATTTATTTATTCCACTGTAGGCCTATTTATCTTTCAAATTCTCCATATTTCAGTTAGATCTGATGTTCTCACAGCGGCAACTTCTGGGATGTAACACCTTATAGTCCGGTAGAATTTTATGGGCGTTTAGGAGGAACTTATTGCTTCTGTCTTCAGGGTAGGAAAGCAAACCAAATAAAGAAGCAACAAAGAAGCGAGGAGGAATAAAGAACAGAGAATCAAACCCAACATTATGTTATTGTTTACGTTTAGATAATATTATGCATTGGATTTCGAAAATTTATGATATTTATCTCTGTTGAAACTTGAAAAATTATTCAGTTTTATACACAGGCCTACTAAAGATTTTGTTATTTTTTGTAAATGGCCCTATCAATCTTGTATAAGTTCCCTATTTTTTACTTGTCTACCAGGAAATTTATTCCATTCATTGTCTATCCTTGTGTATGCCAAGACATGGGCTAGCTTCAGCCACTTGGTTACTGGGGTTGGGGGGGGGTGAGTCTGGCATCCATATTGGAACTGCATTCCCTCCCCATTCTATCCCCTTCCTTTGATTGTATGCATAAAGAATGCTTCATGATTTTTAGGGGTTGTATTCTAACCTGTGTGTGACGAATTAAAGGAGATGGTGAGGGTATGTAGCAGGCATGGGATATATAAGGATTTTTGGTCCAGTGTCCGAGGTAAAATTCGTGGTGAAATAAATGGTACTGATACAGATTTGTTTCCGTTTTCCCCCACTAAACACACTTCCCCCATTGCTCGACACTCGTCTCTTACCGCCATTCTGAGATGTGCAAAGCTGTGAACAGGCAGCACATTATCACATCTTCAGCCATAAAGTTTAGGGGTTTATTTATGACCACGCCCTTGATTGGTAACAGAGTAAGGAGGTCTGATTATTTCTTCTATGGGCCTTTCAGATGTTGCGCCTTGTTTCTGTAAACCTAACAAAGTTCTTAAAGTATTCATCAGTTAAATTTATATTCATTTATTAACATATAGACATGGCCGCGCCGTAGCTC